GTTCATTTTTAATCAAATCCCTATCACTGTTTGCCGCACATGTTCCAGTTACCATAACTGTTTACTACTTTATATAACGATATGAGACCTTTTCACTCCGCCTTTTTGAGGTCCCTGGAAACTCATTCCTCGCCTGTCAGCATTTTTCTTACTCCACTGGCAACGGCAGGGACATGCAGATAAATCTACTGTATATTTATCAATTATGAGGTTAGCTTCCTGCGAACACGCGAAAACTCAAGAATGGCCTCTGTGTGAAACACGTCTTTTTTAAAATTTAAAAAATCATTCATTTTAGTGAAAAAAGGACGAATTTGAATGTCAGTTTCTCATACTTAACAAGTTAGTGATAAATGTTATATTATTTTCGTCTATGGCTAATTAAAGATATTTTGTGCTGACATTTCGCGCTAACCGCAATTTTCCTCGAGAAAATGATTTTTTTTTCTATTCTGCTCATGACTAATGGATCGATCGATCCGTCTTCTCTTCACTTGGAGCGATGTGACCTTAAGTACAGGTAGCGAGCATATCGCGGTTGTACCATTTCAAAGATAACTTGCTTTAAATTTTTGCATTACTTTATCCCGCCGTGTCTTCCTGACAATTCAGGCACTTTAATTTTAGGGATGTTATCATATTTAAGGTTTTGATTGGATAAATAAGTAGCTTTGTAGGATGTGTTACCAGAAAGTATGACTTTTGGAAATTTTCAAAATGCATTTAATCTAAAGAGAGTTTCGATGCAACTGTTGCAAACTCGGGCGATTTTTGTTTGGATTATTTTTCGCATCATGCAATTTTGGGAATTGTGCTATAAGTATGATAACTTAAAACAGAATTTATTATAACTTACACATATTCCTGAAGTTCATAAATATAAAATGAATAATCATGGGTGGATTTGTCCGCAAACTCTAACGAAATCACAGGTTGGCTCTTCCTAATTCCATTCTGCTGACTCTTGCATACTGGTCAACAATGGTGGTGAAATACTCAGGCCCGTAGCCAGGGGGGTTCGGTGGGTTCGAAAGAACCGCCCCTTTTGCTGGGAAAAGGTCTACTCTGGGTAAAATTTGATCTAGGTACATGAAATTTTTATGCGAAAAGGTCCACTTTTTCAGAAAAAGAACCCCCCTTTTAAAATTGCTGGCTACGGGCCTGATACTAATACAAACATCACTTGACTTGTCATATCTATTATTGCAGGTATTGTTCGGCCAACCTAAATGAGCTCGACATCCATGTTGTAAAAAAAGGATCAGTTTGCAAATTTTGTACTACACACACTGGACAATAGAAGTGTCACCCCCTAACTCAGAGTAATAAAAGTAGGCAGATCTTGGGTACTTAAAATGCCTGGTCTACTTATAATGTGACTAATAAGTATAAAACCGCTATACCATGGAATTGTATTGTTGGTCTTGTACATGTACAGCAAATGTTATTCCTGTCCAATATGGCAAGATACAGGCAATTATCTAACGGTTATAGGTACAAGTTAACCTGAAGAGGCGGAATATAAGCAATGTCAGAATATCGATACAATTGAATTGTTCAGTCAGAACCGTGCAGAGGGTCTGGTCTCGGTATAGAAACACTGGATCAAGAGACAAATTGCCTCTGATGGGTCGTCCAAGAAAAACTACTGGCCGTGAAGACCGACGACTGATTTTGATGTCCAGGTTGTCAAAGTTCGACACTGCTTGTCAGTTGACAACACAGTGGAACAATTTCACACATAAGAATGTGTCTGTGAACATTGCTAGGCGTCGGTTACATGTTCATAGAGTGTACAGCAGGGTAGCAAGACTGAAACCTCTTATATCGTTACAAAACAGGCAACGTAGAGTGAACTAGGGTCAGCAGGATCTGGAACTGGACAGTCCATGACAATTGGTCCTATATATTTTTTCTGATGAGTGTCGCTTTGGTCTGATCTCTGATGACAGACGGGTACGATGCTGGCGAACTGCTGGTAAAGCATTTGAACCACATGCACTGAATTTTCGAACCCGGAGCAGCATATTCATCATGGTGTGGGGCTGCATCAGCATCCATGGCGTGCGCGAATTGATAGTGGTTGATGGAAACATGAATCACTAGAAATATATCGATGTTTTGGAGTCAGGCTTGCTACCATCTATTACTAACATGTTTGGTGACAGGAATTATCCATTTGTTCACCAGGATGACAATGCCCCTTGTCACAGGCCCGGAGCAGTTGATGATTGGTTTGACCAACAGGACATTCGCAGGGTGATGTGGCCTGCCCAGAGTCCGGATGCAAACATAATAGAAAATGTGTGGAATGATATGTCAAAACTTTTGACAAATGCCCGTCTAACCAGCAGAGAAACTCTGTTATTTTCAGTGTTTCATGCTTGGGCCAGCATAAGCCCTGAACGCATCAGACAATTATATGAATCCTTGCCTCGTAGACTGGCACCTATTATTAGGTCACGTGGCTATGCCACTAAGTACTAATTTTGGACTTGAAACTGCATATTGTGGTAGAATGTATATTTTGTTCTCATTTTGTGATTTTTCGTGAAATTTGATGCGAATAAAATGATACCAGGAGCATATCATTCCATAGTCATTTATCTCCCCCATAGTATTGGTTCAGTAGGGGTGACACTTCTATTGTCCAGTGTGTGTAGTAAACTATTTTCTTGGGCATTTCATTTCGTTTGTAGAGTTCCGTTTTTCCACTTTCTTTGCTAATTCTTGGGTTTATTTATTCTGCCAGAGTTGCAACCTGACATGAATGGAAAACAAATATCATTGCTTTTTAAATGCCCTTTCTCCAGTGCTTTTCTTACCCAATCCATAGCCACAATTCTATCGATTAGTATCATATGCCTAACATGCTACAATGTAAGGCGGTTCTCAGATATTAGGAAGGGGTTGAAG